CGTTGCATTAGTTTTTTTTTCTGAATTTTTCTTCTTCCTTGCTAAACAATCACTAGGTGGTTGGAAAGATAAAAATATTTGACGCTAGTTGTGCGAAATTCCTGAAGGTACCTATTCTTCGCTCAACTTCCCATAATTGTTTTGGATAACTCTTTATCCCTGAGACCGAGTAGGCGTAGCATTCGAACATGGCGAAGAATGGGTTACTTATGGGACATATCCACTTGAGACAACTATCACATTGTTCTGTTTCCAAGAGAGGTATGACCATAATTATGTCAAAATGAAAACGTGTCGCCAAAGCACAGGCACAGTTACACGTTTTGTTGAGGCACGCGGCCACGCCTACCGCGTCTCAGGGATAGCCAGTGTAACTGCCTGCAACTGTCGTGTTGAGAAAAAGACAGGTGAAAGCGCGCAACAATTAACTTAGGTCACACCGCAAGCGAGCCTGCCATCGCGCATGCATGGGGTGTAAAATGATAGTTTTCGGCAAACAATGCGCGCATAGCTCCTACAGATTCTATGAGTGTGTGTATGCAATGGCATCACTGCCATCAGTCGGGTCGCATTCAGCAATCCCACCTGCGACCTTCCACCACTGGTTGTTTTCTTCGTAAATCGATCTCTACCCTGTCACCATTGGAAGAGCAAAGCAGCCGGAGGCGAGGTCATCCCGCCTTCCTCACACCGCCTCTCACTGAATGCGATGTTACGAGCTGTCTATGTCATGCTCGTTTCTTCAAAGCCGGAGCGGATGTAAAGATTGGGGATGTAAAGATTAATATACACTACTTTCCCACTGGCAATCAGTTTCTCTCATAAGCAATGATAAGAGACTCTGAAACCATTTCGACTAATTCGTTGAGGGGTTACAGGCAGGCAAACATGTCGTTGCATAGTCGCGCCGCACGCTACACCAATATGTTCGGGAAATCCAGAAAGCAAACACACATTTGAGGCGATGGACCTCTCATGAAGACCTCGCCCCCCACGACATGATGATGGTTGAAAATTTTCTCCATAGAAGCTAGCGACTACGCGTGGAACTGACAAACTGGACACCTTCGAAACCGGATCGGGAAGCGCTGATTGGCATTGAGAGCTGAGGCGCCGCTACATAGCAGTGTCATCTACGTAGCAAACAAAACCGCGCATCATTCACGTGAATCTGATTTGGGCAGCGACACTACTTCATGGCAGTCAAAATCCATTCTTTCTGAAATACTGCTCGGAAAACCTCCGAAATTCCCTCCTCGTTTTGTATTAGTGGTAGCTAGTTGTTTAATTTATTAGAGCTAGTTCATAGCATCCTCATAAAACTGTAAAGAACTAGGACTAACCAAATTGTAGATCGAGCCACACACAGCCCACTCCCATCAGCGTGTGACGACGCTTCCATCTTCCAGATGCCTACCATTGATCGGTTTCGGCCGCAGGCAGTTGCTTCATCATTACCTGAAACTCGGATGGACCAATTTCTTTCCAAAACAGGAAATCTTACGAGTTGCTGGACAAGCTACGAAAGGAGACGGGCAAGACTTCGCAATTTGCCGCGCCATCGCGCAGAGCAGCAGCGATGTGCGGCAAGTTTCCGAGGGCCATCAATTTATCGACTGGAGCACATAAACCATGCGAATTCAAGCGCGGGCAAGACTCTGTGCTGAACGGTGTCGATGTTCCTGCCCTCTAATTCTTGAATACAAACAGGCAGGCCAACGTTCTTGGTAAGCGCTGCGTATTAGTACTGTCTTGCACCTACTCCAGTAACGATCAACCAGGGTCGTGACCAAGAGCCCCAGCAGACCGTACGGAAAGTCCTGTTCGGCACAGTATTAGGGATATTCAGTGCAAATAGTAAGGTAAATGAATAATAATAGTGGTAAGTTACAACAACAACGAATAAATTTATGGCACAAATCCAATGCACCACGCTCTAATATGCAGCCTGTATGGGTTCCTGAGACGCAGTCTGGAAATTGAAGAGGTCCAGGTCTAAGGTTGTTTCAGTAACGTGGCTAGAATAGACTATGTAGTCTCCGCTCCTCCGGGGCTAGCTCTGTAGGGCGGGGTCTATGGTTAACTCGAACCCATTCCCATTGATGGCGTCAATTTTGTGTCATTGTCTGCACAGTCGTCATGGCTATGATGAATATGGTTCCACACAGTTCAACTTTGGCATGTGATAAACGGCTTACCTTACCTGGAGCATCTAACCTGGAGGCCCACAGCGATGGGGAAGGGTCGTTGGTTGTAGGACGGTTGTATATGCCTTTAAAACAACTATTCTGGTTGTTGAGCTTTGTCGATTTTCCTGTTTCAAATGCGCTATTCATCTCGCCCCCCCCCCCCTCAGCGGCGGCACTTTTTGGTGAAAAAAAGAGGAGGAAGTTCCGGAAAGCCTCCGGGAAAGCGGTAGTAAGTTGAGAAGGTCTAGGAGGACTGCAGGTACGATGTGGGATGGAGATGTGTGTGGTACCAGAGGGGGAAATTTTGAGGGAGGGTCGTATTTTGCGAAAATTCTCTACACCGGCCAACGAGCTCCATCTACGTTACAGCTGATTTTGCTGTGAGAAATGCCCCCTTTCATATAAATAAGGGTATGTTCGTAAAGTACTAATCATAGTAGGATAGTTGGGAGCAATTGTATAAGGCTGGTCCACACTACCACTCCACGGCCCATTTTATGCTCGTCTGCACCCACTCAACGGGACAAAATTCACAGAATTCGGTAAGGGCGCGTCGAACGAGTTCCTCTTGACACAAAAACGCTGAAACCGGCTTTGTTGACCCCTGAAAACCAAGCCCAGGACCTCAATAACGTGTTGCCGAAGAGTGTCGAGTAATTGAAAAGAGTTGGCGGCTTTCTCCCCTTTATTTTGGCTAGTTAGGTAACTCCTATTCCGCTACAAGGTCCTCCAGTTGTCGAATATGGGAAATGCTAACAACACGGACTCGTTTTTCGAGCTCTGCTTGCATCACCCACGCCCCCCCCCCCTCTCCCTTTTCCCGTCCGGTTCCGCTGATTGTTATCAGGCCGGTTCCGCTGATTGTTGCCTAGGCAGGACATGATATTACTGCAAATCAGTGAATTATGCAGTCAATCTCTTTCTCATTTTGAAAAAAACGATCAGTTTAGAGACCGGTTCCGTATTGACCAAAGCACACCGGTACAGGGTGGAGCTTTCAAGCTTCCTAGCTGTTTTTTGGGACTTCCTAGTTTGCAATAACTTTTGCGTGTAATAATACGGGTTGAAGCTATCTGGTTTCCTTATCTCAACGTCGAGCCATCAATGAGCGCCGATCGCCCTTGTTCTGCGCATTATTTCTTTACGTTGTCGTCTTTGTTAATCAAGTTTCGTTTGTCTGAAACGCATAATATGACGCCAAATCACACATGATGTTAAACTAATAAGTTATCGGTTGCTAATTACTGTATTGATGTCCACAATTGGCGCCATAATCACTGTACCCGTACCCACAAGTAAAAAAAATCGCATTGTAGGGAAGTCGCAAGTGCTCTTTCTTCCTTAAGTTCCAAGTGATCCAGTTAGGTGTCTTGTTGCTCATAATTAATGGGTAGAAAACTGTTATGACTGTTTCTAATTGCTGAACAGTTAGTATTCATCATTGATCCATAAATGTACTACTTCTCGAGTACCTGAAGAAGGATTTCTATTTTTTTCACATTACTGTTAAGTTTCAGTTCGATGCAGATAAAGATATCCTTCAAAAGCTGCGCATCGCCTTAATTTTATTATCAGTATCTGAAACGTTTTGCAAGCTGCGAATGATAACGCGCTCCATTCCGAAAGCTGAGGCGTGCGTGCGAGCGTTCTGTCCACGTTTCCCAGACAAACACAGAATTTATGGATTAGGAAGTTCCGCTTGCTTGTTTGGATGTTATTGCGTTGGAACTTTTTACATTTTCGTTCTACTATATTTTACATATTCTGCTACCTACCTCCTTACCAATTATTGCAATTGACTCAGAAACCATCTCAAATTCTGAGCCCATGGCTTGAACAACAACTTTTAGACGACAGCATTTTTATTCTGGAGTTCCACTTCGATTTTGGTAATGTAAATCCTGTCATAATTCTATCACGATGTCTTGCTTGCTTTCTTGGCTATCAACGTAACTCCAAAAAATGGGTGGTCTATTGTTCAGAGCTTTAGTTCAAGGTTCGCGAACTTAACTAGTCTAATGACGAGACGCGACTACTTTCCAGTAATTTGTCCCTTTCATATCTCAATCAATCCATTCATAGCAGATTTCGGAAGGTCCGTTTTACGTAAAGTTTTCATCTTCAAGTTCGATTTTTTATAGCGTCTAGTAGCCAGGTGTTTCTATTTGCTGCACATGACTCAACCTAAAGTAAATACTGTGAATGGAATCGCTAAAACTAAACAACGGTTCGTACCATTGCTATGTTATCTTCTTTACCTTTATAGCTCTTCTAATATTTGTACAACCGCGTGCAGGAAGAGTCGCATGGGAGTATATCTCGATTTTATTCTGAATTTTTCCTTGCACTTTTACCCTTTTCTCATTTATTCTCCCCTGCCCCAAACGGAGTAACCTGGCATTTATAACGAGGATGGCTGACTCGTGGAATATTTCGATTTGAGAAAATTTGTCATCTTGTTCAGTGTTGGACAGAGACAAGACGAATATTGTGTCAAAATAAAATCCCTCACCAGCCACTGTCACCGTTTAGTTAAAGCACGCCTGCCGCATCTCAAGGATTTCGAGTGTATGTATAAGCAGGTTATCCTTCAGTGATTATCCAAAATTTCAATCGATTCCGAATGTGGTTTTTTATGTGTAGGGAACATCGCTACCTGAGCTCGAGCGAACGTTGACGTACGCATCCAGAACCTAATCCAGTCTAGTTTCAGGTCTTGTGCATATGACGTACTTCCATTGAGTAGAGCTAGAGCATTTTTTCTGGATGCGATCCAGATTTATTTTTTGATGTTTAATTCCTAACTGTGCCATGATGCTGTCTTTCAATTCCCTGTTTTTGCTATTACTGATGGTATGGTCGGGTTGCTGTGCGGTGCTCAACAAAACGGAACTGAGGTGTGTTTGAATTTTTTACTCGAAGAGCACAATGTAACTGTCACATATAGCTTTATATTTACTTTTTTATTAGTTTAAATATTTCTGTCGGTTCTCTCATTCGTCTTTCCTTGAAGTTATTTCTCATCTTTTGTTGCACGCTACTATCACATAAGGTTGCCGAGAAGTGGACAAACCCCACAACGCGGTTTTTCCATTTCATTTCGGACTCCATTTCAGAATTCCACTTGGAAACTCCCTTTCTATGTCCTCATCAAACAATACGCGGGTAAATTTGTAGAACAGCTCTACGTCCTTCCGCTTTCACCCATGTTGAGCTGCTTCTTCACGCGGCGACTGTACGCCATGGGCGTAGGCGCTCCAGATCCAATTCGTTTTGGGCTAGCCATATTTCACGACATGGAACATCGAACCAAATTACTTTCTTCTTTTTTTAATATGCCCAGAATATATAGCTATGGAACAGTGTGCATATCGTGAGTTGGGATCCCCACTGAAGGGGTCGAATTTTGTCGCCTAGGGGAACCTTATTAACCATTGAGCAAAATGTTTTCGGTTTTTGGCTTTTCATGTTTCTTCTGTTCCAAATGCTCAGCACACCCCCCCCCCTTACCCTTAATGGCAGCTTTCTGGAAGAAAAAAAAAGCAGGAA